TTAAATAATATCTGATTAAGCCCATGCCAACTTGTTATTTGTGCATCCCACACTGTGTTTTTAGACAATTTTCTCTCTACCTTAACTGTTGGACATTCTTAAATATTACATATGTGCCACATGAACAGAAAATAAAAGAGTGAAAGGGGTCTTTATATTATGGCCTCAATTGGAGACTCTTCATCTAAACCATACCACGAGTGGGGTTTGAACCTGCGGTCAGAGAGTCTCAAACTCCAGACCGTCGCATAAGCTGCTGGGCCAGCTAGCTTCAATAAGATTCATCCAACTAGGTATATTTCTACACCATAGGAAGGTTAGCATAGGCACCACTGTGACCACAAATGCAAGTTTTTACAGACGAATCTCCCGCTAGCATGGCCGTGACGAACTCTAGCTCAGGTCCCCTCAAAGCCGTCAACACGTTGATGGCAAACACGACCGTCTGGAGTTTTGAGACTCTGATTGCGGGTACAAACCCCACCCGTGGTATGGTTTGTTTTCAATCACGTCATTACGATTTCATAAGTCATTCTTCATCTGCCGAAGAAACTTTTTAAGACCGAAGTACTCTACAGGTTGTTTCTATTATGTTTTATTTTCTCTCCTTGTGGCATTTACTATTTTTTTGTTGGTGATCAGTGTTTACAGCAATTAGAACCATGATTTTCTATGCTTCTGTTATTTTTTAAGTGGTATTGAGAGATGTTACATGTTTGGTGGGGCCTAAAATATTGCAGTTGTTAGCCTCACTCTTATGCCTCATGACATAACTTCTAAAAACAGCATTCAGGGATACTTGCTCTATACTTTACTAGCTAGCATAATAGAGTCAAATGTTTTTCTTTACAATCCACAGATCATTGATGATGAAGTACTCTGTGTCCATGGAGGCTTGTCCCCAGAAATTAATACTCTCGACCAGATCAGAACAATTAATCGAAATCAGGAGATTCCTCATAAAGGTAGGAAAGATAAAGTCAACTCTGAAAATCTAATGTATATTCTGTCTTTTTTCTTCCTTCCATCCTATTGCTTCCCTCTCCTCCATCCCATTGCTTCCCTTTTATTTAGTCATTTGAGTTGATTTCTTGATTGTTTACTTGTGAAAGCATGTTCCAAGTGAGAGTCAGACAAGGTACTGGTTCAAGTGGACCAAAACATTGAAGCTAGAGGTGAATGGCCCAAATATATGGACAGCCAAAAGGCTGTCCATATATTTGGGCCAATATGGGGGAACTTGAAAACATTGGCCATGACATCTATATGACATCTATCAGGTGTTCAAGGCTCTGTTGGTAAAGGTATAATGATGTCAGGCCTAGGCTCAAGTTGCTTTAGAGGGTCGACTACATTGTCCAGGCATTGGAGATGAGATGATTATGCTTAAGTTGACTTGTGCCTTTTAGAGTTTTGTATCCATTGCATTAAAAAATGAAAAGCACAAATCTGCTGTCATGTAATTGTACACTGTTCTCTTGAATGACCTGCCAGTTATTGTATATCCAACTCCTGGGCAAAGGAGTGGACCCTGTAAAGCTACTCAAGCCTTAGCCTGACCTCATAAGACTTATTAGCATCCACTACTTTTCCTAAGGTTCCTTGGTACTGGTAAGGGGATCTTGGTCTCTGGAATTGGATTGCTTGATTGCCTCCCATTCTTCAGGTTCTGCATGACCTCTACAAATTTAGTGCTTTCCTCTAAATATAATGATGCATTCACTACTCTCAGGTTTGAGATTTGTCTTAAAGCTATAAGTGTTCTGGTTTCAAGATTCACTGCAAGTTTTTCACTTACTGAAGATGAAACTTTTCATCATTTGCCCCAGGAAACTTCGTGATTGAGGTACCTGAAGGGAGTGGGCATCTCTCTTGTATAAATACAGTAAAATCATGTGTCATTTTTACACAGTCATCCTTCAAGAACTGTCATAAGAAGAGAACCTTGAAGATAAATACTTGGGTATAGAAGTTTGCAAGGGATTCCCGGCATTTGTAACTTTGGCTGAATGGTGGAATGCCATGCTTAACCCTTTGACTGTTTCAGGCCCCTTTCTGAAACTGTCATTCTATGTCGCTCAATTTTTGAAAAAAACAAAATTATTTTTTCTTATGAAATGATAGAGAATCTTTTCCCGATGGTAATGACACCAAAAGTTCGAAATTTGGTCGAAAACTCATGGAATTATGGTCCCGCGAAGTTAGCGGTCTCGGCGACATATGCGTATCGGCGATTTCGCCGACTTTGAGCCCTATTTTCAGCCAATTCCATTGTTCCAGTTGACCAAACTCATAGCTATTTCTTTGGAACTCCATTTTATCTATCAGCTGAGTACAAAAAACCTCCCATTTACTAATTTGGACTACCCAATATGGTGGTCAGAAATTGGCAATTTGGCCCAATTTCACACAAACTAAAAAAAGAGCCAATTTCAAAATAGGGTCCAGAATAAACAAGGTAGACATTCGTGGCACTAAAATAACATATGCTCTGTTTCATTAGTCACATCTCTAGGCCCCTCTTATATTATTATTGCTTTCTATTTTGATTTTTTTTTTCATACAAAAAAATACAAATTTACTGTTATGCAGACTACTGCATTATTGTAAAAATGGTATAAATAATATCAGTGCACTAGTGAAAGAATATTAGACTCCCCAGTTGATGTGTATTGGACGTGTGGTGTGATTTATTTACTCCTGAACATTGGTAAAAACCGAACATTTCCGCTACTTTGAGCTCAGTTTCAAGGTCGTTTTCATCATCAAAGTAATGAAAAATCATCTCTATTTCTGTAATATGTTTTCCATTTTATCACCTAAGACCATGAAAACGCGAATACAACGATAAATACTATACGAAAATACACCTCAAAGTCGGCATTTTATTCCAAAAAAACGATCAGTTTTTTTTTCTCATTACGCACTGTGTGCTGCAGGATTTTTTTTATGTGGTGCACACTGACCACACAGACCCATTCTCTCACATGTGGGCCTACCAGCTTTCTCCCGCTTGATTTGAAGCCGCTAGAATTATTGAGTATATATACGTCAGAAACATTGGCTCGTAAGACGTATTTATACGTTGAAAACAGTCAAAGGGTTAAACAAATGTGGCAGCAGTGGCCTCCAGTGAAACTGCACAACTGATGTGGGATTCATCCATTGGCTGGTTTCATGAAGTAGAGAAGTTCAACATTGGTGGCATATCTGGTATAACAGCAATTAATGCTTATGGGACTGCAGCTCACTATGCCCACAACCATCCAGCAGAGTACTGGTAATCAGCCTCCATATTCATTATCTATGATTATATCCTACAATGATGCCTCTAGTCAGTACTTTCTGCCTTGCTGTCTTATTTTTGAAGGGGATTTTTCCTTATACCTGTTAATGTCTTGCCTTTAAATGGAAATGTGGGGATCTTCATCTGCTCGAAAGGAAATGCATACCATATGGTTAGGCACTAGTTAATCTCATTTAGGAATGTAGCTTTATACCTGATCATATATTCCTGTGGCCCACTGTCTTGATCCTTCTGCTTTGCCCTTCAGTTGCTTTACCCACATGCACATCTTTTTCCAGTTTTTTTTTTTTTTTCAACAAGTCGGCCGTCTCCCACCGAGGCAGGGTGACCCAAAAAAGAAAGAAAATCCCCAAAAAGAAAACACTTTCATCATCATTCAACACTTTCACCACACTCACACATTATCACTGTTTTTGCAGAGGTGCTCAGAATACAACAGTTTAGAAGTATACACATATAAAGATACACAACATATCCCTCCAAACTGCCAATATCCCAAACCCCTCCTTTAAAGTGCAGGCATTGTACTTCCCATTTCCAGGACTCAAGTCCGGCTATATGAAAATAACCGGTTTCCCTGAATCCCTTCACTAAATATTACCCTGCTCACACTCCAACAGATCGTCAGGTCCCAGGTACCATTCGTCTCCATTCACTCCTATCTAACACGCTCACGCACGCTTGCTGGAAGTCCAAGCCCCTTGCCCACAAAACCTCCTTTACCCCCTCCCTCCAACCCTTTCGAGGACGACCCCTACCCCGCCTTCCTTCCCCTATAGATTTATATGCTTTCCATGTCATTCTATTTTGATCCATTCTCTCTAAATGACCAAACCACCTCAACAACCCCTCTTCTGCCCTCTGACTAATACTTTTATTAACTCCACACCTTTTCCTAATTTCCACACTCCGAATTTTCTGCATAATATTTACACCACACATTGCCTTTAAACAGGACATCTCCACTTCATCCAGCCGTCTCCTCGCTGCTGCATTTACCACCCAAGCTTCACACCCATGTAAGAGTGTTGGTACTACTATACTTTCATACATTCCCTTCTTTGCCTCCATAGATAACGTTTTTTGACTCCACATATACCTCAACACACCACTCACCTTTTTTCCCTCATCAATTCTATGATTAACCTCATCCTTCATAAATCCATCCGCCGACACGTCAACTCCCAAGTATCTGAAAACATTCACTTCTTCCATACTCCTCCTCCCCAATTTGATATCCAATTTTTCTTTATCTAAATCATTTGATACCCTCATCACCTTACTCTTTTCTGTGTTCACTTTCAGCTTTCTAAACCCTTTTCTCACATTCCCAAACTCATCCACTAACCTTTGCAATTTTTCTCTAGAATCTCCCATAAGCACAGTATCATCAGCAAAAAGTAACTGTGTCAATTCCATTTTGAATTTGATTCCCCAAAATTTAATCCCACCCCTCTCCCGAACACCTAGCATTTACTTCCTTTACAACCCCATCTATAAATATATTTAAAACAACCATGGTGACATTACACATCCTTGTCTAAGACCTACTTTTACCAGGAAGTGTCTCCCTCTCTTCTACATGCCCTAACCTGAGCCTCACTATCCTCATAAAAACTCTTTACAGCATTTAATAACTTACACCTATTTTCCCTATACTTGCAACATCTGCCACATTGCTCCTCTATCCACTCTATCATATGCCTTTTCAAATCCATAAATGCAATAAAACTTCCCCTACCTTTATCTAAATACTGTTCACATATATGCTTCAATGTAAACACTTGATCTACACATCCCTACCACTCTGAAACCTCCTTGCTCATCCGCAATCCTACATTCTGTCTTACCTCTAATTCTTTCAATTATAACCCTACGTACACTTTTTCTGGTATACTCAGTAAACTTATTCCTCTATAATTTTTACGTCTCTTTTGGGCCCCTTTCCCTTTATATAAAGGGACTATACATGCTCTCCGCAATCCCTTAGGTACCTTCCCCTCTTTCATAATTTATTAAAAAAGTACCAATCACTCCAACACTATCCCCCCTGCTTTTAACATTTCTGTCATGATCCCATCAGTTCCAGCTGCTTTAACCCCCTTTCATTCTACGTAATGCCTCACGTACCTCCCACACTTACATTCTGCTCTTCTTCATTCCTAAAAGATGGTATACCTCCCTGCCCAGTGCATGAGATTACTGCCTCTCTTTCTTCCTTAAACATTTAAAAAGTTCCTCAAAATATTCTCGCCATCTACCTAATACCTCCATCTCCCCATCTACTAACTCCCCTACTCTGTTTTTAACTGACAAATCCATACTTTCCCTAGGCTTTCTTAACTTGTTTAACTCACTCCAAAATTTTTTTCTTATTTTCATTAAAATTTCTTGACAGTGCCTCTCCCACTCTATCATCTGCTCTCCTTTTGCACTCTCTACCACTCTCTTTAACCATTTCTTTACTCTCCATATACTCTGCTCTTCTTATAACACTTCTGCTTTGTAAAAAAAACCTCTCATAAGCTACCTTTTTCTCTTTTATCACACCCTTTACTTCATCATTCCACCAATCACTCCTCTTTCCTCCTGCCCCCACCCTCCTATAACCACAAACTTCTGCCCCACATTCTAATACTGCATTTTTAAAACTATTCCAACCCTCTTCAACCCCCCCACTATTCATCTTTGCACTAGCCCACCTTTCTGCCAATAGGTATTGTTATAATATTTCCTATTTTTCTTGCTTCCACTGTTTACATATTCTCTGCAAACAGTTGTTTTGTGTGAGTAGGCAAATGTGTGTCTTTTAGGAAATTTTTTTAATATTACCATGTTTTCTAATATGTTTAATAGGTGCCTTCTGTGACTTGGTATGGAGTGACCCAGAAGAGATTGACGCCTGGTCTATGTCTCCACGTGGAGCAGGTTGGCTCTTCGGTGCCAGAGTCACTCATCAGTTTACGGAAACGAACAACCTAAAACTCATCTGTAGAGCTCATCAACTTGTCAATGAAGGTAGGCAATTGTATCTTTTATCTTATTTTTATATCCTTGTGAGAAAGTATATGATACTTATTTGTAAAATACATAATCACTGATATAATTTGAGAAATTAAAATATAATGGGAATATGGATGCAGATGTGAATTTTGTGAAAGCTTTTGAGAAATGTGACTGTGGAATGATAACATAAAAATGAGGTCTTAAGAATATCAGGTAATGGGGAAAAAGGAATACAGCATTCTACCTTCTAAACGCTTCACAGTGGTAGAAAATTAGGCATCCCATTATAAGTACAATTAAAAAGTTCTGCAAAATAGTCAGTATTCACTTTTGCCTAGCTTTATATCATCTTTTGCAGGCTATAAGACAGTCTTGTGAAAATTGCCTCTGTAGGAGACATTGAACTTAAACAGTTGAATATTGTTCAATCCATGTGCAATAGTGGTCATTGGAAAATAGCATTAGGTTCATCAGTTAGAAATTCCTCCTTTGCAATAAGTAAAGCAAATAACTGAAAAAAAAGGGTGTTGGATCTGCCCATGGCCAAATACAGCAGTCATCTTCTGCACTTTCTGGCATAATCTTTAGGTGTTGTCTGACACTCCCTCTCACTTCTTGAGTTCCAGTAGTATGGTCATACCGTCTTGGATTCTGCCTCTGTTTCTGGTTATGCATAGTATGAGTCCAGTTGCCCATTTCTTTATTCCTTAACAGAAGACTACATAAACAATGCTGAAAGATGCATTTTTGCATCAGGAACTATGGGAGACATTGGGTTTTCTCTAGTGTCCTCAGCTGTGTTCTTGGTGAAAACTGATGCATATGCCCCACCTGGTACCAGCATACTGAAAAACAGAAGAGAAATGTCTGATAAGAGGAGGCAACAATGTTGATTTGGGCACACATTTGTGATAAAACTGTACCAAGGCTAGGATAAGGTATTAGTCAGGAATGAGACCTGGTCACAGACTGGGCCGTGGGGGTGTTGACTCCCGGAACTCTCTCCAGGTATATTCCAGGTAATATAATTCCATTTAGGCTTTCCTATAGCAAGCGATACACAAATACATCTTTCAGCTTTCAAAAATCAGCTTTATAATGATTCTGTGCCTTTTCTTTCCCATAGCTTTCTGGTCCTTTTTTTTGTGTAGACTGTCCCATTATTTAACATATTACTTAATTTTTTGAGAGCTAATTAGTAATTTGTGTGCATTTGTTATTACCAATTTATAGTTTGATAACTGTTGTATCCCCATTGTCTGTGATTGCCTGTATGTAGTTACTGGAAGAGAACTGTACTTGCTGTCCTTGGTATCTGTAATTAATGTATCATACAGCACATATTTGTAAAATTTCACATACTGTATTTGTAATGTATTTTTTGAGTGCATTTAAGCTACCTACTTTCTGTCTGCTGAGGTGTATGCATGCACTTGCATGCAACTTCCCTTCCCTTCCCTCTGTCTCCCTCTAATAACTGGAAAACTGTATATGACCACACCTAAATCAGATTGCTGCAGGGTAATGATGCATTAAGGAGATAGATGAATTTCTTAGGTTTTGAGGAAATAAAATTTTATCACAGTAATATTAGCTTTGATAGTCTCCCCTTAAGGGAGGTATCTTGATCCTGGTGAGGGTCTCTTGATCCAAGGAATTGAATCTGTTCTCCCCTTCCTTGGATGTAACTAAACTCCTATGGGTTTAGCACATCCCCCTAAATATTACAATAATTTGGTATAATGTCTTATCATTTTTAATTATATAAATATATTACAACAGGTATCAAGTACATGTTTGATGGTAAACTGGTAACGGTATGGTCAGCTCCCAACTACTGCTATCGTGCTGGTAATGTAGCCTCCATTCTCAGCTTTACATCAACCAATGAGAAGCATGCAAAGTTATTTGATGCAGTACCAGATGATAAGAGAGTAATTCCTCCAGTACACACAACACCATATTTCCTCTGAAGCGAGGTGCAAAACAAGAATCATTGTTTATGTATATTTGTCAACAAATGTGTTTATCCTGCCTCCATATGAACGGGTATGTGGTAGGAGTTTCCCCTGGTCAGACAGATTATATTTTGTTTATTTTATGGCATACTTCATAAAAATTAAAAAAAAAATTCTTGTGTGCAGTCTTCAAGTGCAGTGTTGTTTGTATTTTATTCAGTCTATATTCTGTAGAAAAACTTCATTCATGTAGTTTTGATATTAACTTCAAGAAATATTGTAGGCACATAGCAATTAATATATATTTGTCTATTTATTAATTACTTTTGGCAGGGGAAACCTCTTCACCTGAATGTTCAAGTGTCAAGGGTCTTTCATGACAACTCCCAAGACTGCCTGTTTTCTAGGTATCTGAGTAAGGCTTAATCCATGTGCCTTGATGCTTGGATTGGAATGAGTGTCGCTGTTCCATTTTGTGACTTGGTTTCTGCGACAGTTGTGATTGGGCTAGTTTCATTCCTTTTTATTTGTAATTATTGTTGCAGTTGTTATTATATATATATTTTTTAAGCCAAAGTCATTTTATTGGGAAACAAAATTAGACACTTATTCCATCAAAATTTGCAAAGCCATCATGATTTGATAAAGTTGGGTCAAATCAATGAGGGCTGATTGTTCTTTGTTACTTAATGGTGCTGATCATGCTGATGCTAAGGTAATTTTTTTTTTCTGAAAATCTGGTTCCTCCCAAGGAAAGTTCTAAGCCAGTATGCAATTATTTTATCATCTAAAATGGTTTTCTTGCTCCATACTTTCAGTTCAGACAGGCAGTCTTATTGTAAATGGTTCTGTTCTAAGTGCAATAATATTGCATCAAAATTTCAGCACTGCCATATTCAGTAAAACTTGGGCAAAACCAGTATTTCCTCTAGATTTTATTATATTCTTCATAAGTTACAAAAGATTGGAGGGAACATACCACCATTAAGAATGCAGAGAAGCATATAGAGACTGGTGAAAGTATTAATTGGGAGGTGAAGTTCACACGTGGTGTAAATGATCTCTGTTTTATGTGAAGGTGTTAAAGGCTAACTGACAGTGTTTTACAAACCAGTATGGAGACATGAATTTTAAATAGCTAAGGTGATACATGCACAAAAAATATTTTTGGTGTTATTTACTCCTTTTTGTCGCAACCAGTATGAGATCCACTTCTGTCACATTGACAGTAGCTTCTTGGTGGCAAGGTAGGGTAGTTTACTGATCATTCCTCTTGCATCTTAGAGTTGGTATTTGAAATACAGATTCTCTTCAGATGATTAGTTTCATGTGAGCTCAATGAGACTGTATTTACACATGGATTGGCTGATATAATTTACCATTGCATTTTTGTGCACTGATTAGATGTTATCAAAGGGATGATGATTTATAAACATGATTGAGGTAATATTCTAAAAATAACTAGACAGTATTTTACTTAACAGGTGTTTCTTAACCCCTCAGGAGTTGAAAATTAAGCTAGTTTAGGATGTTTAGAGTTCATTGTATTTCAAGATTTTTATAGCATTGAGCAGATTTGAAGTGAATGGTAGGTTGGGTGATAGGCTATTTATTATGCTCAGTTGAAGATAGACTAGTCAGTGGTCTATGATACTGAAATTGTAGATCCGTGTGAGACACTCAATTTTAAGGAGTGTAGTGCTTCCTAAAGTTGAGGGCATAGCTCAATTTAACTTATTTCATTACTAATGGGAGGCCTTAATATTTTTGCCTTTGCAACTAGATAAATATCGAAGTTACTGGCAGATATGTATGTTACATAAATAGCGTTTTACCGAAACCTGTTTATTTTTCGAGACAATGTGATATACTTCGAAGCTGTATACCAGTGAGGGAAATCTACAAAAGTCTTTTCAGATTGCAAATGGAATGATGAAAAAATCTTGAAGGATTTGGGATTTCACTCATGCCTTGCATTTGTCATCTTGAACACCATTCACATGTGGATTTCTTGTTTGTACCAGTGGCCGAGAGTAGTTAGTTGCGATGGATGTCAGTTACCCTCTAAGACCCCACAGATTTGAGTTTAGATTGAGATGCATCATCATCCACTGACTGTTACTGTGATGTCAACATTACCTGTGTATTCTAGTTATACTCAAATTTCCAAACCAACAGTAGTCTGTGATTGTCTTCAAAACATATTCAACAAACTTTCATGATACAAAAGTTTCTAAATAAAGCTTGCGACGATTTAACTTTCCTCATTCATACCTCTTTTTTTTTCTGACATATATTTACATGTAAAGCTTGTCTTTAAGATGGTTCTTAATATTTATTTTTTTAGCCTAAGAAATGAAGGCACATACAAGGTACAAAGTATCAAATTGTTTTTCTTAAGGGAATAAAGACAAATATAGTATTGATGGCCTCACCCAGAGCAAACATGGAAAACTATATTGTGGAGCTCTTGTTGTCTTTTTTTTTTTTATATAGAGAATAATGGAGAGGTGTTTAAGGCTATAAGTAAAATTGGGTGTTAATTCAAATGCACAAGTATATTTAATTCTGAATGTGTAATTAGTCATTAATTTTTAATGATTAATGAATACAAAGTAGATGCAGCCAAACATGGAACTACCCTAAATGGATATTTTGTAAGCATTATTTGATTCATTTTCTCTTAGTTTTTGTGAACATTACTTGCCTAAAAAAGGCTGCAAATGCCTACTGATACTTATAGTTTACAATGAGTGACATAGTTTAAGCAGGAAAGATATTTAGGATATTTGTATGGGTAGTCTTTAGCCATGTATTAAGTGTTGCTATATTATAGCAAAACTGCATTGGGTCTCAGTTATAGTATTTCATTTTTTCCATGTTCCTATACCAAAATAATCCTGTGATGAAGATTCTGACTTTGGGAAGAATAACAATCTGTATATAGTATTCAAGAATCGAAAAGATATCCCTCAGAGTGTAAAATCTTAAAATAAATATGCTTAACATAAAATTATTTTTATTTGAACCTCATTCATGAAAAGTGTTGCAAATTTTCATTGTAATACAGTACAGAGTTGGAAAAATATAATGATGATGTGAGTGAAAAAGTAATCAGTCAGGTTCACTTAATGGGCTTGACCCACCTTTTCCAATAGGTCCCATCCAAATGTGACTATGACTTCAATGGCTGCACCTTGCCACTTCTACTGGCACCAGTATGCGTCTCCATCTTCTGGATGGCAGGTGCAGGTGAAACATCTGTCAGTAAAGGTACCCAGGTATTGCATGTATCTTGGTCATCAAGTCTTTTTTTTTTTTTTTTTTTTTTTTTTTTTTTTTTTTGCGGGTTCCCACTCGCTGATGCTCAGGGCAATGTACAAACAGACTCAGCTGCTTGATTAGCTATTCACAGACAACCAGTCTCCTGCAGGGGTACTTCTTTCTCGGACTATTTTCCAGTACTCTCAACTTTGCAACCTCTGGTAACAATGTTCAATTGAGTTAGAACACAAATTATTGTCTGTCAAACCACAATTATGTTCCTGGCCGTCTTCCCACTGCTATTGGGCATGGGTACTACACTCACATATAGAAGTTAGATGCTCACAAGTCGTGTATGGATACCACATGGAGAAATGCCTGGCACCTCTGTGAGGATTGCCAGGCTGCACTATCAGTCTGCCATATCTTAGTAGACAATTACTTATCAGCGCATGCATAATTCACTAACAACATCTACAACACCCTGACACTCAATTAGCTGACCTTGCTGAAAGTCCAGTCTTTAACACAGTGTCCCTCTTTTGACATTTTTGATGGAAATTAACCTATTACACCAACTCCGATTTTAATTTTACACCCACAGCTGCCCAGGGAGGTACTATCATCCAGACAAGTGAGTGTAAAATGGAAGCCTGTAATTGTTTTACATCATGGTAGGATTGCTGGTGCCTTTTTTCTGTCTTATAAACATGCAAGATTTCAGGTACACCTTGCTACTTCTACTTTCACTTAGGTCACACTACACTTGCATGTACAAGCACATATATACACACCCCTCTGTGTTTTCTTCTATTTTTTACTAGTTCTTTTTCTTGTTTATTTCCTCTTATCTCCATGGGAAAATGGAATAGAATTCTTCCTCTATAAGCCATGCGTGTCATAAGAGGCGGCTAAAGTGCCAGAAGCAAGGAGAAACTTTGGTTTTTCCTTTTGGGCCACCCCACCTCAGTGGGATAAGGCCAATGCATTCAAAGAAGAAGATTAACCCCTACTTTCAGTTTTTTAATACAGTAATGATTATTATCTGTGTCATGACTACTTGGAAGTCATTATTTATATTTTACATTTTTACAAGCTATTATGCTGTATAGCCCTTGTGGCTTAGCGCTTCTTTTTTGATTATAATAATAATAATACAAGCTATTATTTTATTTACAAAGAAGTATAGAACATCTGTCTGGATTATACAACACTGAAATCTTGATGAATGAGAAAATATCCACAATATTTAAATCAAAGAAAATGCTGGGCTTTTTGTTCAAGAACTGTGATTGGAAGACTTTAGAAGGAAGTTAGTCCATTAAAATTACTTTTCTCTGACAATTCTGCCTTTTAATTACAACACCTGTTTAAACATGAAGTAATCTATCCATGAACGTAATATAAAATTTTGTGTGAAATTCTTTTAATGAGGCTGCTGAATTTAGCTACTAATGAAAGGATATATATAAGCTACTTTATTACTAGCTTATTACAGTATTGTTATACTGCATGATTATGTTGCAACCTGCTTGAACTAATGTTTGTGATACATTCACATTCACATTATCATTTGGTAATTCTATAAGTTTTTACTTGCATACTCAAATATGTCTCAATAGAAAATGTCTGCCACTTATGCTGAAATATTTTGCACCAATAAAGAAGATCTTGTTATACATCTAGGTAAGCCACATAAAAAAATCTGCACTTTGAAATTAATCATATTGCATTTAGTCATTACACATTATATACAAAACAAATAATTTATGATGACTTAACCTAGGTCATCACCTTAAAACACCTTAAAATTGTGTCCTTACAATTTTGTGAGTTATATATGTAACTATTCTTTAAATAACTAGGGCAAGGTAACATCCTGCTTGGTCTACCTGCCATTGTTTCTCTCATTATGTCTTCTTTTGAAACAGCTACTGCAGGTATGTATTCCATTTGATCTACTCTATATATTTTTATGCATTTAACATAAAAAATGCTAATCATCTATAAAGGAGAAAATAACACTTGATAGAGGAAACTTTAAAATTATTTTTATTACTTGATCTGTTCAAATGCTGTATTTAAAAATTGCATATTATGCATATTACAGTTAAAAATACTTAAAACCATATACAGAAGGGTCCCACTTATATAGCTGATAGGTTCTGGGCTACTGCTGTAAAGCAAAAATTGCTGTAAAGTGAAACAGCCTTTTTTACTTTCAAATGCATATATGTAGTAGCCTGATATGTTTATACTAACATATTAAGTGAGCAATAGAGCTAGGCCAAAAAAATGTATATACAGTATACACATTACTTACCTTAAAATATTTTTGAACCTTGCTTAAAGTGACTGGTGAATGTATTTATTGTAGGAAGTCTGAATAAATGAAGAATCGATATAATTGAAAACTGCTGTATTTACTCATGATTAGCTTAGGTTATTAAATATCAGTTATTGATTTGATTGACTTGATTACATTGGGTTAATGAATATTGATGAGTAATCTTGTTAGGTTTGGCTTGTGAAAATCAGTGGATAATCTAATTGATTCGTTGAGGCAGGCTAGCGAACATCAAAGGGCAATCTGATTGCTTAAGCCAAGTTATTGAATATCAATATGTACTTTAACTGATTAGGTTAGGTTAGGTTAGTGAGTATTTATAGGTAATCAAATGCTTAGGTTAGGTTAGGCTAGGTTAGTGAGTATTTATGGGTAATCAAGTGTTTAGGTTAGGTTAGGTTAGTGAGTATTTATAGGTAATCAAATGTTTAGGTTGTTATAGGAAACACTAAATCCATAAAGTCATACAGTGCATGAGAAATGGAAATTTAATTATTATTTTTATTGAGGGGGAAGCATTAAACAGTTATTGTATTGTTACATTCATGGGGAGTGCTAAACCTGTAGGGTCATACATTGCATCAGGAATGGGAGGTAATCAGGTTCAGTAAAATGAAGGCAAGGACAGGTTCAATTCCTTCGATCGAGAGCCCAACCTCCATGTATCTTAACCTATCAGGCTGGAACCCAGGCCCTTTGGTTGTAAGTCGATCACTACCACTAAGAACACAAGAATGAAGGAACACTACAGTAGGACTATTGGCCCAGGCTAGGTAGGTCTAAATCACACCCACTCATGTATCCATATAGCCTATATTTAAAGCCACCTGAAGTGACTACCTGATAGTTTATTCCACTCATCTACAAGTTATGTAAGTTTATTCAGGTATACACAAATACAGTTACATAGAATTATCATACATAGCAGCATATGTGTAGAGAATATGGGATAACCCAAAACTTTACTGCCAAATCGGTACTTCCCTATATTCTTTCTAAATCCACTACTACCAGTCTTGTCTTGTTTAGATATGCATTTTTAATTTATTTTAATCAGGGTGAAGTGCTAAATCCACAAAGGTCATGTAGTGCCTGTGGAATTGGAGGTATTCAGGTTTGATCCAAGGAAGGGGAGGATGTCCAGTTCCTTGGATCAAGAGCCCATCAGTATCAAAGCACTTCCCTCGAGGGGTCATTAACTGATAGATATTCCAACATATAGTACATTGTCAGAGTAGATAGAAACGAATATAAAATAATTATAAAATTTATTTCTTAAAAGTAAATTACACATTTGTTGACATTATTGGCATACTTTATAGAAGGACTGACCAAATAAACATGGATTTTGTTCGGATTAATACTATTACAATAAAAAAATAAGCACTAAACCCACAGGGTCATACAACAGTTCAAATTGTTAACCTGGATAGACAGTAACCCAGAATATCAAAATACTGCCATGTCATCACACTGCCTGATTTATTTCCATTGGGGTCCCATAGCTTGGTTGGTAACGCATCAGCTTACACATGAGGGTTCGATTCCTGGTACGGGTGGAAACATTAGAATGTGTTTCTTTAAGACACCTGCTGTCCCTGTTCACCTAGCAGTAAATTGGTTATTATTATTATTACTATTATTATTAATATAGGGGAGCGCTAAACCCGTATAAATTATACAGTGCCTGTGGGGGAGGGAATGGAAGGTATTTAGGCTCAGTTCAGGGAACTGGAGCAGAGGTCCAATTCCCTAGATCGAAAGCCCCTCACCAGCATTAAGGAACCTCCCTTAAGGGGACAGTAAATAGGTACCTGAGTGTTAGCTAACGGTATGGGTCGCACCCTGGGGACAAAATTAACCTAATTTGCCTGAAATGCTCTGCATAACAATGGACGTTTTATGCAGTATGCCACTGATGTCAGGTAGGCCTGTGCAAGTGTACATATACTTGTAGAAATAAGTATTACTATTATATTATTATTTTTCTCCTCCAGGATGCGACCCCACACCAGTCGACACTACTGGCTCTTCTTTCTTATATATGCAGCGTGCTACAAGTAAAATATAAAAATAAAAGTAAGTTCATAGTTCCATATTACACTGTGCATACATTAGACCCAAGAGAGGAACGATACAACCTAACGTCATCGTACGTCCGCCACCCAGGACATTATATTTAAGGGAAAGCACTGTATTCATTAGGATCTAGGAATGTAAGGCAGCCAGGTCTGATCTAGGGAAGCGGAGGGTAGCTCCAATTCCCAAGATCAAGAGTCATGAACTTTCCTTGAAGAAAGGCCACCCAGTATAACGTCATCCAACGAATGTAAACAAACGTTTGTAGTTTCAGTCTTTATAAGGTATAACTATAGCCTACAATTACGCTATATTTGGCTTGG